TGGATATTGATGAGATGGTTCCGCACTAATGTCAGGAACATAGTTGGTAATCTCTTCGTTCATACACCATTGACGAATCGGTGATGAGCCGGAGGCTGGTCTCTGTGTTCGAGGCAACGCCATGGAACCAGACGCATAGTATATAAGTGAAACAGACAACATATGTGACAGCCTCCTGTATTACCATATTCCTACATGTAACGGAGGAGATAAGGCCTATGTGTCTCATGACATCCACTATTGATCGGGGAACTAATGCTGTACAATATAACAATGATATAGTAGCTGGGTCTTCGACACCGTTTACAATGTAATAGTAAATCATGTGGGTAGTAAATATATGCCAATTGTATTAACTGATATGGATACATCACGACAAAGTAATTGATATATAAAAGTGCAAATCCAGCATTTGAATTCCTGTATCAACCATTCATGTTCCTTGAAATTATACACAGCAGGTGAGATTTGGTCTGTTGTAAGCTTTCAGGTGAGATATTAAGCATATGGAAGTATTGCATTAAACATGTGTAAGAGGCACACAGCGACTACTGCTATAAATAATTTGCAAGTGGTGTTTCAAGCGCATCAACATTTTACATCTCGATTATGAATTAGTTAACGTAATTTCTTGACGACAGGTACATGTGCAAAATGTTGACTATCCTTTGATGTTATCAGCATTTGTCTCATCATTGAGTGTCAAGCGTAATGCTGGGACAAGGACGGACAGAGATTGGGATCATACTACCGAGTCCGTCTTACAGTCTTACAGTAACCTACCATCTGCATGTAATGGCTTAGATTGTATCGCCTTATCCTAGCCTTAGAGCTGCTCAATACAGTGGCGATGAATCTAGTATGAATCCTTGGATGAATACATCAGTCGTGTCTCGATTCAACCTGAGATCATAGCGGCCTCATCGGCCTCAACCGTAAAGCCAAGTATCGATTCATTAATGCCATCACCATCGGGCATACGCGCATGGATAATGAACAGCCTGAACTTTCTTCAGGCTGGGATTCCTTCCGAGCAAAAGCCAGCAAAATATTTCAAACCAAAACACATTCGGAATTAAAATATCGAGATCCGTTTTTGTCGACGATCCACTGCCTCAAGCAACTGAACAAATTGCATCAGAAGCAGATTATTCTTTGCAATCACAATTTGAGTACAAAGTCTAACTACATCATCTTATCACGATGTCATCAATGCATCGCATACACGTTAGAACGAGGGAGTTTCTTGCACAAGACATCAGGAGACACAACGTTCCTGAGATTATCCTGTTGTTCTATTTGCCTCTCAGTGGGACAATCCACAGACAGGTGTAGACTCCAGGCAGGTGTTCGTGGGAGAAGGCTGGTAGCACCTTATATTTTCACAGTGGGACGGGCGTTTGGTGTGCTAAAATATTTGCAACTTGTTTAGTTCTTAATATGAGCGTGCAATCTGCTGGTGTATATACCTTTGAAGGGACAGTTGTTTTAAGAAGGTGGCCCATGAAATGCCTGTCAGTTATTAATCCATACATCACCGACACGTGTCTTCATCCTACCCGACACATACTTTCATACACGAAACACCTACACACCCGATACACGTCACCGACAGGGCTATACCCCATCACATCCGACACATACTTTCATACACGAAACACCTTCATACCCGATACACGTCACCGACAGGTCTATACCCCATCACATCCGACACATACTTTCATACACGAAACACCTACATACCCGATACACGTCACCGACAGGGCTATACCCCATCACATCCGACACATACTTTCACTCCCGACACACCTACATACCCGATACACGTCACCGACAGGGCTATACACCATCACATCCGACACATACTTTCATACACGAAACACCTACATACCCGATACACGTCACCGACAGGGCTATACACCATCAAATCCGACACATACTTTCATACACGAAACACCTTCATACCCGATACACGTCACCGACAGGGCTATACCCCATCAAATCCGACACATACTTTCATACACGAAACACCTACATACCCGATACACGTCACCGACAGGGCTATACCCCATCACATCCGACACATACTTTCATACCCGAAACACCTTCATATACCGATACACGTCACCGACAGGGCTATACATCATCATCACATCCGACACATACTTTCATATACACGAAACACCTTCATACCCGATACACGTCACCGACAGGGCTATACACCATCACATCCGACACATACTTTCATACACGACGACACCTACATACCCGATACACGTCACCGACAGGGCTATACACCATCACATCCGACACATACTTTCATACACGAAACACCTTCATACCCGATACACGTCACCGACAGGGCTATACACACATCACATCCGACACATACTTTCACATCCACGAAACACCTTCATATACCCGATACACGTCACCGACAGGGCTATACACCATCACATCCGACACATACATTCACTACACGAAACACCTTCATACCCGATACACGTCACCGACAGGGCTATACACCATCACATCCGACACATACTTTCATTCATGCGAAACACCTTCATACCCGATACACGTCACCGACAGGGCTATACACCATCACATCCGACACATACTTTCATACACCTCACGACACACCTACATACCCGATACACGTCACCGACAGGGCTATACACCATCACATCCGACACATACATTCATACCCGAAACACCTTCATACCCGATACACGTCACCGACAGGGCTATACACCATCACATCCGACACATACTGTCATACTCCGAAACACCTTCATACCCGATACACGTCACCGACGGGGCTATACACCATCACATCCGACACATACTTTCATACACGAAACACCTTCATACCCGATACACGTCACCGACAGGGCTATACACCATCACATCCGACACATACTTTCATACACGAAACACCTACATACCCGATACACGTCACCGACAGGGCTATACCCCATCACATCCGACACATACTTTCATACACGAAACACCTTCATACCCGATACACGTCACCGACAGGGCTATACACCATCACATCCGACACATACTTTCATACACGAAACACCTTCATACCCGATACACGTCACCGACAGGGCTATACACCATCACATCCGACACATACTTTCATACACGAAACACCTTCATACCCGATACACGTCACCGGCAGGTCTATACCCCATCACACCCAACACATACATTCAACAACCGACAAACTTTCATATCCGATATGGACACACATCACCGACACAATCCTTCATCCTACCTAACATCTGGTGTCCCCCGCCGTGATGTTGCTGAAATATAGCTAAAAGCGGCGTAAAAACCAAACTCAGTCAGTCATCCTACCTAACACACCTATATAGGTCACAACTCCTTTAATATATACTCACAGGCAAAACGTATTGTGACATGGAATGCTTTCATTGTAAATGTTCATTGTGGATGAAGTTTTGGACTTGAACCAGATAGGAGTGTGCTAAAAAAGGCTGAAAAACGCAACCAAGCAGTTGAAATTGCACGAGGACAGATCGACGACGCCCGGCCCGATGACACTTCTGACGCCGGAACCCCGACGTCTCCAGACAGGCAACACCTGCAACACCTGCGACGAGGAGCACGGGAGTGAAGAAGAATTCCCTTCACCGACGAGTTCACACGTTGCACAGCATTGTCTTGATCAGAATAATGTTGATGTGCAACCCTGGCAAGATCCGTGATTTTGTCACCCAGTGAACACGTCTGGGATTAATGGAGCGGGGTTTACAACGTCAACCGAATCCTTCAACAAAGCTGAAGGAACTCCGTCAAATCCTTCCTCGAATATGGATCTTCTCCTCGACTTTTTTGTCACCTCAATGAAGGCCTGCATGAATGCAGAAGGTGGACACACTCGCCACTGACAGTGTGGGCTTGTGAACTCCCTCTTGTGTTGGGGCTCATTTGCATGCAGGTGTGCATTTCGTATGGACTGTTGATCGTAATCATACATAGAAACATTTGACATGTCATTTGCTGCAGGATCAGTTGAACATTGATTCTGCTTGTTGTTCGTCTCTCACAATAATTGACCTTTGAGTATATATAAATAACTGCTTATTGCCTACCGGTACCGGAACTCCTGGCTTCCAGTTGTCGATTGCCATTGTTAATTACTACTGGCTTCCCTTGTTATGTGTCTAGATAGGTCTCATAACTTTTGTCACATGTACATCTATTTCCCGCCAGTTTTCATTCACCAGATGAAGGAAATATGCTTCGAAACGTTGCGTTCCTTATAACCAGAAATTGACATCATACAATTCTCTCCTTTATACGTTTCACTTTTAAATGCCATTTAATCGTGTCCCAAATGAGTGCTTAATTACTGATGTCCCTTTGATCATGGCTTAAGGAACTGTAAAACACATTCAAGACATCTTCATTAAAGGGACAGAATGTGAACCAGCCTTTTCTCGTCATAGAAGGAGTAAGTGTGAAAGTAATAACATCCAGTGTGTGGACGGAGGATGTAAAACAGGGATGCTCGTATACAATAATGAGCTTAGTGGAAAACAGATTATTTACTGAAGTTCTCATATTGAGACTGCCATGAACGTACATCCTACAGTCACAGGTGTGGGTGGTTCTTCCTCTTGCGATTCACAACGTGGAATACACTCGTGGCGTCCTCATCATATATACAATATACACATGGCCAGCTTAAGTACTGAGCGACTCCACGCTATTCAACCCACTACCGAACTATGACTCACCACACGCAATGAACATACCAACACACAGGTAGGAGGTTCAAAAGGCCATCGCAGGTCATAGCTACTGTCGTGTTTAAATGGCGGAATGATTGGAATATGTTATGTATGCATGTACATGAACAGCTTCAGATTCCGGGACCAGACGATACTGACGTGTCACACAAACGTTAGGCATAAAGGATTATCATCACTATGCCTTGATCCAAATTTCAATTTTTGTTGCAGAATCATCACCAACTTTATGTCATCCTAGATGCCCACGTGAAGAGAGCACCCTTTGGTGGCACCCTGAGGCAGAAGAAGGCACTGCTATCAGCTGTAGTGTTTACCTTTCTAGCAAGAACCACTCCATTCATTAGTTGGTGTTGACATTCAACTCGTGGAACTTTCTCCAGTACTATTGAAGTCCTTCCTCCAAGGAATATTTTCAAAATGCTTGGTGGAAATTGATCATGACGGGCCCGGCTATAAAGAACAGGAGGGGAAAGAGAAAAATCAATTGTTCCCAAATTACGATTTAAATTCAATTTGGGTTCCCTCAGACGTTTAAGTCTGGATATATTCAGTAGTTTGGACGTTTTGACCTTCACGAGAAGACACGAGTGTCTAATGCTGGGTTCCTGTTCAGCGGTCTCATGGGAGCTCGCGATTCCTCCAATAAAGTCTAGTTATCTCAAACGGAATTCAAGTCAGCATCCGACACAGATCCCGGAGTAAGACGGCATTGTGAATGGCTGGATTCTAATGCCAGTGGCTCTCAATATAGTGTGTGATTGAAACCAGGAGAAATTGGACGTTTTGTTATATGTCCTGTGAACGGATTATAATTCTCATAGGTTCTGGGCCACATAGAGGATATTTCCATCTGATCGATATATCCCTCCTGCTGCATCATTACTTGGTGAGTCCTTTAATTACCATTTATTACTAACGCACTATCACCCATCATATTCTACAATGCACTTTCTTCTTCCACGTGCATCCCATATCTATGACATATATGGGCAATTCGTATCCTGTAGCACAATAACCCATGGATTGATATCTTACATGTGTCCATACACTTTGATACTGTATCACACCAGGAAATGGAATGTTGTACAATGTTACTATGAACAATGTCGATATCTCAATATTAGGATAGTTGGTGTATAGTTAATGAATATACTGCACTTCCAGTATTTATCCTGACAACAACAGTTTGCAAGTGTCACATGCATCCTGTCCCTACTGGCAACATTGAGGTCTGATTCAGGGACATATTTATCCTGATAGCAGTCTGCAAATGGCATCCTGTTGTGTACAACCCCCTCGTGTAGTGGCAACACTGAGGTCTGACTCGGGGACATATTTATACTGATAGCAGTCTGCAAATGACATCCTGTTGTGTACAACCCCCTCGTGTAGTGCTGGTTGAGTATGGTTTTACGCCGTTTTAAGCAATATTCCAGCAATATCACGGCGGGGGACACCAGAAATGGGCTTCACAAGTTATACCCATGTGGGGAATCGAACCCGGGCCTTCGGCGTGACGAGCGAACGCTTTAACCACTAGGCTACACCACCGCCCCCCTCGTGTAGTGGCAGCACTGAGGTCTGACTCGGGGACATATTTATACTGATAGCTGAGTGAGTGAGTGGCTATCCCCTCAGGGTATGCATTACGGCATGTAGCAAGGTGCAGCTTTACTGTCTGAATGTAGTAATTGCAAATGTGAGATTGTAAATGTGATGTCTGTTAGAGCGTTAGTGTAGGTGCTATTGTCGAATAGAATGAACATCTTATTATGGACGTGTTGTATTTAATGTGGCTGCCGCATTTGTAGTCAGATTCAATGGTAGGTTGTAGTTTCAGACAATATTGCAACTGTTGATGACACTGTCGTTACTAAATGTGGTCATTTCTAATAAGGTACAAGTAATACCACAATCAACACTTGTCCCTTGGTCATGAGAAACCTGGACAATAGCATATTACATCCTAAAAAATAATGGCAACTGCTGTGTGGATACTCATGATCAGTATCTCCATGTGCACGGTTTTATAGAGACGAAATGCCACAATTTCCTTCACTCGTAGTGCAACCACAGGTGTTACCAAAATGCTTGCAGCCTCACACCACTACCTACAGGGAGGACATATTCAACACATCTACCGGTTGTTAGTTATAACTTATTTATCCTCTACCAGCGTAGACCAGGGGTGAGTCAATAAAGATACCAGTGTGTCGTATATACTATCATATTTAATGACGAATTACATGACTTAGCAGCAAGATAGTTCTATTCACAAAATATCCAGGGTTTTATAAAGAGGCATCTTTCATAACATCCATGCAAAACCGGCATGTACTATCATCAAGCCGTTGTCTCCTGACTGAGCTGCAATGCATGCAGCAGGTATTAGTGTTTTACTGATCTCCTTTGATGGCATCACTGATATCGACCATCGTGGAATCTTACAGTCGAGCTTCACTCCGACGCGTGCCTATTATCCATGCAGTTTTTTCCCCTTGTAAAATGCATTTGTTGGTCAATGATTTAGGCGTGAAGAGGACATGTTAATGTTGAAAAGGTATCATGCTGAGATGGCTAATTAAGATTGTAGTTAGTATATTGTTTGATCTTCAGAATGGTATCTGAAGGTGCCTATTTATGTATAAGTTTCACGGTGACTCATGTAACAACGCCTAATGCCTGAAGTAGTCACTGTAGACCGACGATTGGCACGATTGGCATTATGAATCCATGTTCAGACATCCTCGGCTAGCTGCACATGGGTACATCGTCCACTCTTATGAGCTACTTACATCGGTATTAATATCATTAAACCACATCATTTCATCCGTTAGCACATGGGTACATCATCCACTGTGATGATTTACTTGCACCGGTATTAACATTATTAACCATATCAGTAATCCGTTAGCACATGGATACATCATCCACTGTGATGATTTACTTGCACCGGTATTAACATTATTAACCATATCAGTAATCCGTTAGCACATGGATACATCATCCACTGTGATGATTTACTTGCACCGGTATTAACATTATTAACCATATCAGTAATCCGTTAGCACATGGATACATCATCCACTGTGATGAGTTACTTACATCGGTATTAACATTATTAACCATATCAGTAATCCGTTAGCACATGGATACATCATCCACTGTGATGAGCTACTTACATCGGTATTTACCATATCAGTGTTAGATGGATACATCCTCCACTGTGATGATTTACTTGCACCGGTATTACCATTATTAACCATATCAGTAATCCGTATTACATCATCCACATGAGTTATTATTAACATTATTAACCATATCAGTAATCCGTTAGCACATGGATACATCATCCACTGTGATGAGCTACTTACATCGGTATTATTATTAACCATATCAGTAATCCGTTTGCAGGATACATCATCCACTGTGATGATTTATCACCGGTCATTATTAACCATATCAGTAATCCGTTAGCACATGGATACATCATCCACTGTGATGAGCTACTTACATCGGTATTAATATCATTAAACCACATCATTAATCCGTTAGCACATGGATACATCATCCACTGTGATGAGCTACTTACATCGGTATTTACATTATTAACCATATCAGTAATCCGTTAGCACATGGATACATCATCCACTGTGATGATTTACTTGCACCGGTATTACCATTATTAACCATATCAGTAATCCGTTAGCACATGGATACATCCTCCACTGTGATGATTTACTTGCACCGGTATTACCATTATTAACCATATCAGTAATCCGATGACATCATCCACTTGACTTGCACCGGTATTAACCATTATAACATCGGTATTATATGAGCTACTTACAGTAATCCGTTAGCACATGGGTACATCATCCACTCATCCACTGTGATGATACATCATCCACTGTGATGAGCTACTTACATCGGTATTAACATTATTAACCATATCAGTAATCCGTTAGCACATGGGTACATCATCCACTGTGATGAGCTACTTACATCGGTATTAACATTATTAACCATATCAGTAATCCGTTAGCACATACATCATCCACTGTGATGAGCTACTTACATCGGTATTAACATTATTAACCATATCAGTAATCCGTTAGCACATGGGTACATCCTCCACTGTGATGAGCTACTTACATCGGTACATTATTAACCATATCAGTAATCCGTTATGGGGACATCATCCACTGTGATGAGCTACTTACATCGGTATTAACATTATTAACCATATCAGTAATCCGTTAGCACATGGATACATCATCCACTGTGATGATTTACTTGCACCGGTATTACCATTCTTAACCATATCAGTAATCCGTTAGCACATGGATACATCATCCACTGTGATAAGCTACTTACATCGGTATTAATATCATTAAACCACATCATTAATCCGTTAGCACATGGATACATCCTCCACTGTGATGATTTACTATCACTAATCCGTTTGCACATGGATACATCACCCACTGTTATGAGTTACTTGCACTTTGTTACGGTTAATAATTTGCCGTAACAAAAGGTTTAAGAGTCACCTTTTAACCAGCAAAATAGATCACTGACAAGTCTTATATATTTAATAATATACTGAACAAACAATGAGCAAGCTACAATGAATGACAACACAGATTTCTAGTACAATGCATTTGATAAACAAATCTAAAATATTGGGTCACAAATCTAAACTATTAACTCACCAGTCTTGACATTTACAGTGAGAACAGATATACTGACTGAAGGTTGTTTACAATGACAGCAGCTGAATAGACAAGCACAGTCGGTCTTGAAACGTTGATCAGCTTAATGATGGCAGACAGATGTATACAAATCCAGTCATGTGAAAGTCCCATGTCGCACTACTCAACAACCAGCCTATATGTAGCTCTTACACAGTTCTCGAGCATTCTAGCAAAGCTAGACAGCATCATTATCCACTCAGAATGTTATCCACATCGGTGGAAAACTCCACGGCATGACGAGTCAACAAGTTGCCAAGGGAGGCAACTCTGAGGTGCTAACAAAAAGGCGTGCCGCTACAAATACTATTGCCATTGAACATATATGATGTGACCCATAATAACTATCACTTAATCAATGTGATATTACAAATGACAAAAAACACTCTCTCGTAGCAACTTGTATTAACATTATTAACCATAATCCGTTAGCGCATGATCATTGTTAAACAGAATAGAATTCAGTTTAGAAGGTTGATATAAAAATACCATAATGGTGCATCTTTGAGTTCCCCAAACTTCTAAAAGACAGTCCCAATGTTAATGATAAGATCAAGCTTTTGTGATAACTTAAATACGATCAAGAAATGGTAAGACTGGCTAATGCATATTCACACCAGTATTGTAGGAATGTCGATATAAGTAAATTGGGCCATAGTGCATTTGACCACTACTCTCTATCATACATAGAGATTATTACACAAGCAAGTGTGTCATACGACTTACACGAAACGAGTGTGAAATTTTGCAATACATAATTTTGCACGAGTTTCGTGTAAGTCATATAACGCACTTGCTCGAGTGTAATAATTTCTTTATTATCCATTTTATTCATGTACATTTGTGGAGTAAAACACGGTAAGCAAGTGTGACGGCCCGGTCAACTCTCGTCACTTTCAATTGTTTAATAACGTCACAGACGACGAAATACAGAAACAATGGTTGCTAGGCAAAAGTGATATATATGAAACTGGTTATCTTTCACCATATGCCTAATAATTATCATTACGATATACACAAATTGAGATGTATCTTTGTCATAAAGCTAGATGCAAATGTAGTTGTATGTGTATGTGTAGAAATTCGCTTGATGCAAATGGGATGTATATATGAATTACTCTTGATGCAAATG